TGGATGGATGGATGGATTGTGATAAGAGCTATATGAACCCCCAATAAAATGATTTTTTTTCAATAAAAATAAATTTCACTTGAACCTCCTCCCAAGGGGTCGGACAACAGAAAAGTGGGTGAAGGGAGACAGTAGTCGGTGTAGGACATGAAAAAAATAATAATTTATAAATTATCAAGGGTGTGTGAGGGAGCGAGGGTTGGGGAGGGGGGAAAAAGAGCTGATATCAAAGGCTTAAGTAGAAGGAAAATGTTTTGAGAATGATGAGGGTAACATATGTACAAATGTGCTTGACACAATGGATGGATGGATGTACTGTGATAAGAGCTACACAAGCCTCCAAAAAGAAAATGATGATGGCAACATATGTACAAATATGCTTGATACAATTGATGTATGGAATTATAAGAGCTGTAAGAGCCCCCAATAAAATGATTTTTTTTAAAAAGACATTTCATTTGACCTCAAAGATTATGGTGGAGTTAAGTTTCTTTTTGATACACCCACTAGGAACTTATGAGCATGAAATCTCCTAGACCTCTACAAGGCTGACCGGGCTTTGTCTTCTTTCCATTCAGCATCAGTATCCCGGGAGCAGAGCTAGTCGATGTGGTACGGAGTGGTCCAGGGTTGACAATCATCTCTGACACCACCTAACAGCACTTTCTGTGGCAATGCACATGCTCTAGATCTGTTTTGCTCAGTGTGTGGTCTCTCCCTGCATGGGGATATTGAGCACTTACCAATGGTGGCTGCGGTGGTTAGGTGCCCTCCAGTCAGTTCTGACCCACAGTGATCCTATAACACTGCACGGTCCTGTACAAGTGTGACTAAGAAACTCAATTTTTAATTTTTGTTATTTAAACCTAAGTAGCTCAAGCATGCAGTTATCGGCTATCATATTAAACACTGCAGCAGTTAACCAATCTAATCTATAAGTAGTGACTTGTTTAAAATCTTTTAGAAGGGCATGTTCTTATTTACCTAAGTAACATAATCTAGTGTCCATTAAAACAAACATGCGGGTCTTTCTTTCCTGTAACTGTGTGAAAACATTCGGGGCCTGCCTTCATGGGATCATGAGCAATCCTAACCTGACTCACATGCCTTCTCTGTGGTCTGAGCAACACTTTACAATCGAAGCTAATTAATAGCTGTTTACAATAATAGTTGTGCTTTAATTCCTACTGATTAAGAAATCACACCATAGTAAAAACTCCTCTTCCTTGGGTATCAGTGAGGCCATAAGGATTCAGTGGTATGATCCTTGCCCTCCACGTGGTAGACGCATGCTCCCTGCCCAGACAGTGAGCCTCATTTGCAGCCTGTCAATGGAGCCCTGAAGGTTCCTATGATGCTACGTGGGTTTCAGCAGAAATTTCAGACAAAGTCAGATTAGGAAGAAAGACCTGGAAACCTACTTCTGAAAAATGAGCCAATGAAAACTATACAGATCACAAGGGTCACAGGGGTCCCATCTGCAACCAATGATGAGCATAGCACAGGACAGGGCGGGAGTTCATTTCACTATGCAATTCATTAAGGGCCAACACAATGGCAGCTCACAATGACAATTCAGTAGTACTTTCTATTCGTGCCCATTTCCTAGTAAGAGCAGCACCCATATGGATCAGTAAATATGCATCTACATGGAAGATATTAATTAATCAATCTATGAACAGTCCTTGCTACTGTTCCTAATCCTTGATACTGTCCTTGATAATACCATAGACTCTAAGACCTCTTACAATATTCCATAATCTCCTGGGTCCTGTGACCTGAACTTCTAAAGACCATATCCCTAATTTGTCCAACTGTCTGGCAGATAACATAAGTCCTGTGACTCATATGAAGGCGGAGTGGGGGTTGATATGAAAAAAAATGAGGAAAGGCGATTCTCTTACTGCTTAGAGCTGAAAATTTTCCAATGTAATCTGGTAGCAGAGGCACATGCGTTATTTGTACTAAAGTTAACTCCAAGTACCATTTTACCTTCAAAGAAGATTAAAGGTCAGATTATTTGGATTTCCTAAAAGTGTATTTTTATGCCTCAACATTTCTTTCTCAACTTTCTTTCTATCGTCATCTTATCAAAAACTATCTTCCCTCTCTGTGATTAACTGATGTTTCTCAGCGTCATCTCTAAAGGCAAAATCTCAAGAAATAATTTGAGTCACAAGAACAGTGAGCTTCATTTCACTATCACACTCTTGCACTTACGATCCTATGCTGAGCAAAATGGAAGAGGGAGATCTTCACCAGCAGAGCCATGACAGTGAAGACGGTGCAAGCTTGGCAATGTTTTGTTCTCTTCTGCTCTGTTAGGTATGAGCATCCCTAGGAGTCAGGACCAGCACCACCACCACCGAACAACAAGCTAGTTGACCCGGTGCTTCGCGTCATCTTAAGTAAGCCAAACAGTTGGTCGCATCATCAGTGCCGCTTTTGCTAACTCAGAAATTAAGATCTGTGTTTGCTCGCCACCCCAGATTTCCAACAACCCAGCACGTATCAAAATGTTCTCTAGAAGTGGCTTTTACTTTTATTAGTAGCGTGGGTCACTACTCCAGCAGCTCCAGACCATTCACAGCTTTGAGATGACCATGAGCTGGACCAGCGATTGAAAGTTGGAGGTAAAAGGCCACTTCCGTGAAGCTGACAGGAAATGAGAGAGAGACCACCATGACGACAAATCTGCAGACTATAAAACAAACAAGCTCACCACCATCCGGCCAGCTCCAACTCAGAACCACCCTACAGGGCAGGCAAAACTGCCTCTGTGGTCTCAGAGAGTATCTTGATGCGAGTAGAAAGCTCTATCTTTCTCCTGTGGAGCAGCTGGCGGTTTTGAACTGCTGACCTTGTGGTTAGCAGCCGAAAGAGTAACCACTATGCTACCAGGACTCCCGCAGACTATACGATAGGGAAGAAATGCTTGTACACTGTAACTTCTTAGAAATGATCTAAGAACCAGACACTCACATGATAGCAGACTTTAGGGAAACCTTGAAGGGGGTGGCACATGGTCAGGTTTAACTCCTCTGGTCTTAGAACACCCTAAAATCTGAGAGTGTCTTCTGGTGCCGAGTGACAGTCCACGGCAGTCAGGTTGAGAGCTTCCCCAATCTCTGAAAGCTCTTTCCTGAATACCTTCCAAAGCAGGCGAGCTGACAGATGCCGTGTCCCTATTACTGGGTGAAAGGCATCAGGTGAAAATACAAGCAACTGTGACACTGGGAGCTCAGTTCCTGACGTTTGGAAACCTCTTGGAATTCTGTACAGATTACAAAACAGGCTCAATAAACTTAAGAATGTCCACACCTATGGTTGCTGATAAAGCAAGAAGCAACAATTTCACATCACTATCAACCCTCTGAAGAACAAATCTCACAGGGGGTAAATAAAAGAAGATGTGACAACTTTTACTAATGACAGACCATTTTCTATTTTCCAATTCTCTGAGTTTTCTAGGGAGAAGCCACTCATTGAAAACACAGGCATCAATTTTATTAGGGAGGGCTGGAACTAGACTATTTCAAGAAAAATTCATCTCCTGAGAGATGCATTTATTACACATTACATACATTGACTGACATACACATCAAATATTATTGCAACATACTCATTTTTAAAAAGCCTATGAAATTCACATACTGACTATAGACAGTATAACCTGAGGTTTTAATTCATCTAATGCCTTAGCAGTGTAAAAGCTGCGTCTCAATTTAACGACTCTGGGTTGTAATTTATTCACACTGTATTATAACAAAGTAAATACAAAAGTAATAACTCCAATTGTAAAAGCACTTACCTTTTTAAGGTGATCACATCTCAGGATTTTGTATCCAAAAGAAACTGTGTTTTCCTATGGGAAAAAGAAAACAAAAAGACTACTCAATAGTGTAAAACTGGCACAGGGACAGTTTCTGACCTTTGACTTCACAGAGAATAAGAGAAACAAACTCAGTATCAACCCAATCCCAATTCC